GGGTTTAAGGTTTATAAGGTTTAAGGTTTAGGGTTCGCCAGCGCAGCTTGGCGCCCTTAGCAATTCCGCTTTTAAGAGAGATTTATCTCTCTCTAGGTGGTCACCCCTAAGTGCAAGAGTGTCACCCCTTAAGTGCAAATCGCCCCTAAGTCCAAAAGCGCCCCCTAAATCCAAAAGCGCCCCTAATTGCAAAAGCGTCCCTAAATGCAAACACATTTTTCAGCTTGGGCTTCTGGAGGTCTCTAAGCCCTCCATATAGGTAGAACAAATTCCTTTCCAAGAAACTTCTGGAGGTCTGAGGTCTTTGGGTTTTCCGAGAGGCTTCTGGAGGTCCTTGGGCCCTTCATATAGGCAGAAGAAATTCCTGTCCAACAGGCTGGAGGTCTCTGGGCATTTTGTAGAACAATGTCCTTTCCAAGAGGCTTCTGGAGGTCTCTAGTGCATCACAGTTCCCATCTTTTGCTTCTCAGAAAGCAAAGATGCGGCGAGAGCCCGTCGAGGGAGTCACAATGGATCTCGCTCTCCACGGAAGCACTGTCCTGATTCGCAAGTGCATTGAAGTCAGCGTACTCGATTCGATTCAGGATAATGTTTTCAGGCGGCGGAACCAAGTTGAAGTCATGACCTTGCTGACAAAAGACCTTGCAAGCTTTACTCCCGGTTGCCTCTGACATTCAGGCCGGTCCTGGCAAAAAGACCCACCTCACGCTCATCTTCCGAGAGATCGCCCCCGACTTGAGTACTGATCTCAGTTGCGGTGTCCTTTCAAAACCAAGATGGCTGCATAACGATGCACACTGAAGACTATTGCAAGGTCCTCCTCCTCGGTTAGCGGCTCGGAGATGACGTCCCCAAACCAACCTTGCTCTGCGGCACATCGCTGACCTCATCGCGCTAACATGAAACATACACCTCATCATTTTTAAAGCACCGAGGATCCAGCATATGAAAACCACTTGCTCCGAAGAGCTCCGAGGATCATCCACCAATGGAGCTTCTGTTCCAGGTAGTTTCCCGTCATAACATGCAACGGGATAAGGATTGTCGGCTTCTGGAAAGTGTTCCGGGTAGTTCCCCTTCATAAAATGCAACGGGATAAGGATTGTCGGCTTCTGAAGGGCGTTCCAGTTAGTTCCCTTCATAAAATGCAACGGGATAAGGATGCAGGTTTCTGGAGGGCTTTCCAAGTATAGTTCCCCTTCATAAAATGCAACGGGATAAGGATTGTCGGCTTCTTGAGTGAGGGCGTTCCAGGTAGTTCCCCTTCATAAAATGCAACGGGATAAGGATTGTCGGCTCCTGCAAAACGCTCCAAGTAGTTCCCCTTCATAAGATGCAACGGGATAAGGGACCTGCGGAGTAGGTCACTCGGTACACTGGCTGGACTTCGAGACCAGCCTTCAGAAGCGACCTCTAACCGGGACAACTCGAACAACAGCGAGCCGAAATGCTCATGCGGACGTGGCTCATGCCCAGAACGTTGGTCTGGAAGACTGCTGCCATGAAGCTGGCACGTCGACGCACCGGCGCAACTTTCTTGTCTTTCCTCGCTATGAGCCATATCTTGTGCCTGTCTCCCGCGGTCCCACGGGGATGATACCCGCACCGTGCGACCTATCGAAATACGCTTCTACGGGACCCGCTCCTTCGCGATGCTTGGCTCGGGCTCGTCCTCTCTGGAACGTTTGCACGTGCATCGTTGAGGCAGCCAGCTACCCGGAAGACGAAAATGAGGGCTTTGGTTTCCCCCCGCGTCCGCCACCACGCCAAGAAGCAATCGGCATACCACCGGGCCCTCCCCTATGAAGGTATCATATATTCAGCAGGAGCACCTTCTAGGCAGACCACAATAGAACCTTGTAGCCATCTGGCTACATACTCGATGACAGGCCCTTCTGGGAGGTTGCAGCTTGACAGACCCTCGACGAGGTCGAAGCGACCATCCTCAGCACACATCGCTCCGATGATTTGTCGGAGGCGGCTACAGGCCGTCGATAACTCGATGTCTTCATGCCGGCTGACCAAGAAGCCGTGCCTGTCTTGGGGTAACTGCCTCAGACGCCCTACATCACGTGCCGCCACTGCGCACGCAAACAAGCAGTTGCCGTCCGGAGGGACGTCTAGAATTTCTAGCTCGTGCATTGCAGGCGGTGCCGCGAAGCCCCGCCGTTCGATCTCCTCTGCCGTGGCGGGCACTCCCGTGTGCCACATGCTTGCACCGAGCCTCGGTGAGCAGGATATCCCGAATGGGCATGCAATCGCGAAGTTCTGCGCTGGGGGCGCTGCACCTCGCTTTCCGGACCAAGTTCACAGGTGGCGGCGTGGAGCCTCGGTGCCCAAGAACATAGGCAAGAGATGTGCTTTTTTCCGACGGCCCGCTTCTGGCAGAGTCTGAGACTGACGCTGAAGTGGTTGGAGCTGCGGCAGCTCCCGTAGACTAGCGCATGATGAAGATGTAGACGATGACGATGGCGAGGACTCTACCCTTGCAGGATCAGCCGATACTGGAAAACACCCTAGATCTGGATTGAGCCGTGAGGCTGCACCGATGATGCGCAGCCTGTGCTTTGCCTGCTATCGCGGCAGCGCGCAGTCACAGGCGGCTATCGTGAACTGAGGCCGGGACGGTAGCATCTGAATCCTTCGCTCCAAGCGAGGGTCGACATGACCCTCTCGCACTGCCACCTCTCGCAGAGCCTCAGTATGTTTTTCTTGCCGCGACCCATCACAGAGGCCTGCGCGCCTGCAGCAGGTTTTGCTGTTCGATCGCCGTAACCGTCGCAGAGGCCAGCCTGAGCACCAGAATTCAGCACGTCCAAATAATGAACGACCGAGCGCACGGCGTCTCTAAGACGAAAAGAAGAAAGAAGGTTACCATGGCGTCCAATACCTCGGAGCATGCAGGCGGATTGTCGGCTTCCTGAGGGCGTTCCAGGTAGTTCCCCTTCATAAAATGCAACGGGATGAGGATTGTCGGCTTCTGGAGGCCTTTCCAGGTAGTTCCCTTCATTAAGTGCGACGGGATAAGGATTGCCGGCTTCTCCAGGTAGTTCCCCTTCATAATATGCAACGGGATAAGGATTGTCGGCTTCTGAAAGGCTTTCCAGGTAGTTCCCCTTCATAAAGTGCTACGGGATAAGGATTGCAGGTTTCTGGAGGGCTTTCCAAGTAGTTGCCCTCTGCAAAATGCAACGGGATAAAGATTGCCGGCGTTTGGAGGGCTTTCCAAGTAGTTCAGCCAATTGACACATGCGGCTCAGACCAAGGTTTAAGTAAATTGAAGCGAGTTGCGGAAGATGGGGGTTGACCGAGGCTTCGCGTGCATCGAACGATCAGTTTGCGATCCGGAAGCCAAAACCCAAAATGCGTTGGCGCACACGGGCGAAGCCCTTGAAATTTAGGGTTTAGGGTTTAGGGGTATCTTAGGGCAAGTTAGGTTCTGGAGTTCAGGGTCTGGGGCTCCGGGTTAGGGTTCAGGGTACAGTATGGGTTTAGGATTTCGGTTGTTGGGAATTTTGATTTAGGTTTATAGGGCATGATTAGGGGGCCTTAACCATCAAAGCGACTTGTATCAGGACTTTAAGGGAACTCTATTTCTCACTAGTCCGACCCCTTGATTTGGGAGGCTTCATCATGATTAATGTGTATCCATGCAGCCCGTCAGCCCTGAACCCTAGACCCCTAAGGCCCTAAATCCTAAAACATTGGCTCAGGTTGTTGCTTCGAGGGGGTTGGGGATGCGAGGGTTTTTAAGGGTTCAGGACTCGTCTTCAGGTGCTTTAGGGCTTCCCGGGGTTTAGGGTTGAGGGTTTAGCGTTCGGGGTTTAGGGTTTACGGTTTAGGGTTTGCCGCAAAATAGCACATAAGCGGAAGTATCTGGCGATTGTGCAGTTTGGAGTGCATCGTAGCATGACTGGAGCAGGGCGTTTTTTCTTGCCTCTCCCACCCCACGCCGTCTGAGCCGGCCAAACCACCCAAACCTATTCCTTCTCGGGTTTCGCAAACTCCGTCCATGGTTTTTCCTTTTCTTCAAACTTCGCCAGCGCAGAGGCAGCAGGACAGGGCAGGGCAGGCATTGATTCAGGGATTATGGTTTAGTCGAGGCTTCAGGGCTTTAGGGCGTGGGGTTGGGGGTGTAGGGCTTGGGGTTCACGGCTCGAGGGTTGTACCGTAGGGGTTTAGGCAGCTAAGGTCTATCCAACTGGGCATACAAAGAAGTATTCAAGTCGCGGGTAGCAGACCTTTGACCGTCTAAAACCCGTGGTTAGGTGGGCTTATAAGAACCTGAACGGGGGTGATACACACGAGAAACTATAAGTATTGTTACACTAGTATATCTACAACTCTAGATGATAAGTCCCATCCCTAAACCCTAAACCCTAAACCCTGAACCCTAAAGTCCCATGCTCCCTGGAGAAGAGGAACATGTGAAATTCCTGCAAAAACCACAGAGAGTCCGACAGGCCCGCCACAGAATCCATGAATTCCCGGCCCGTGTCGTCATCGCCTCGGACAGCCCCCGAACAAACCTAAAGAACTCTCAGAGTTAAGGGTTTAGGGGTTTAGGGTTTAAGGGTTTAGGGTTTAGGATTTAGGGTTTAGGGTTTAGGGTTTAGGGTTTAGGGCTTAGGGCTTAGGACTCAGGGTTTAGTGTAGGGGGTTTAGGGGCTTAGGGCTTAGTGTCGGGGTTTAGGGGTTTACATCGTAGGTTTTGTCTGTGGAGTCTCGGCAGGTCGTTTGACACCGTCTTCTTAAGCTTGTGTTTTGATGCAGAACGACATCCCTTAGTGAAAACTATTCCTGATAAGGTAATGTAGGGGCCTCAAGAATTTGAATGTGGTTTTGGGGTCCATTATACTGTACTATAAATATAATAAGGACCACCCCCTATTGGTAATTATTTAGGCCCCTATATTTCTTTTGGGGGGGGTCCATTACACTATAAATATACTAAGGACCCCACCCCACCCCCCCAAAAAAAACTATTCACTTCATTTCGACGGTCAGCAGTGCTTAGCGAAGCGCAACCCAAAAATGCAAAGGTGAAACGGAAAGCCAGATAAAAAAAAAAAAACTATTGGTAATTATTTAGGGCCCCTACATTAAATTGTGCTTTCGAGAAACCCTTGCCGTCGACCCAGGGGCCTTTTCCGGTGCCTCTTAAGGAAAAGGCGGTGTAGGGTTTAGGGGTTAAGGTTAGGGTTAGGGTTTAGCGTTTAGGGTTTAGGGTTTAGGGTTTAGGGGTTTTGGGGTTTAGGGTTTAGGGTGTAGGGTTTCCCTATTTTTCCTTTGAGCTCCTTTACTGTAGTGGCCTAGATAATTGCCAATAT